CCTTCTGCCTGGTACCTGAGTAGTGACCTTTGCTTCAGCACCTTGAAGAGAACGTACCGGTAGCAGTTGGGTCGACGATCGCGGAGTAAGGCCCAGCTCCGGCAGTGGTGACGATCTAGACGGTTCCGCTGAGTTCTCCCACGTTGGGCCTAACTTGACGAAGAGTTTCACCATTCACGGCCATAACACTCTTCATGGGGGGGGGGGGGGGGGGGGAGGGAATTATCTCTCTTGTACTCGCGATGGTGGTAGTGAAAGCGGCTCGGTTGAACTTGTATTATGAAGTTGCTATATGGGTACTTTCAGGTGGACTTTGAGGATTCATCGATTGCCGGGCTGCTTTTTCTTGCAAGTAGTTCTTTTTTTATTTTAAAGGAGCGAAAAGTCTAGGTAATGCTACCTACATAACGGTACCTACTTAGTGACTAGTCCTATGATTTACAATTTCAAGATCTAAATGTTCAATCTATATTCATATTCATTGTTCCAGCTTGAGAAATTCTTAATTCTGTATGATAGATATATATATATTGAGTCTCTATTGTACAATGTAGACTTACAATGCGAAGATATCTGAGATTTACATGTCCAGAACGTTAAGGAGAGAGTCATGGGGTATGTGGAGGGAGGGAATAAGAGGAGTAGTGCATCGATTGGGTATTTTGGTGAGGTGAATGGTTCACTTGAGTTTATACCGCTCGTTGGAGTTAGATATTGGCATGGTGGGTTGGAACTTGGAACATTAGGGATGGCGATGGCGATGGCGCGGATGCGGGTGGATTCGAAGTATATACAGAGGGAATTTTGAGATGAAGATGATGATTTGGGATATGCAGATTTGGTGTTGACTTGAGATTGGAGATTTAGATTTCATTGATTGTTCAAGACGAAATAGAGACTTGTGGTTGGAGTAGATGCGCTACGAATGTTAGCACTGATGCTCTGAGAGTGAGAGAGAGAGAGAGAGAGAGAGAGGGAGAGAGGGAGACGATATTGATTTCCTTCTTTAGAAAACGAGGAAGAAGGATTGCGGCAAGCATTTGATCAGAATAGTTGTGCTGGGAATGAATGGTAAGATTTTCTTAGAAGTTGGAATATCTTGTTTAAATAAAGGTATTATCACTATGATATTAGGAAGAAATATAATTCATCACACTCGAGTGATCGAAAGAAAAATATGATAATTAACTGATAACAAAAAAGTAACGCCGAAGTGCTTCATCACCCCAGTCGCGGGAATTCTCAAAGCCCGTGGAGAATCTGGAGATGTTCAAATCGTATGATATTTTCTTCGGGGTGCACAAAAGTCGACTCCGAGATTTGGTAAAATATACGGAGTAGATGTTTTGGTGGTGGTACGGATGAGAAATTGTGGGTAGGAAATAAATGGTATTGTGATTTGGAATCATAATTGCTAGATCCTGTTGCTTGTATGTTGTTGATGCACGCATGTTAATATGTAGTGTGAGATGAGATGATGAGATCAGGCGATGAATGGGTTATAAAGTTGTTGAATTTGGGGGTGGAGGAGTGTGAGAGCTGACATGTTGTTTGGAAGGCAATATCAATTGGATATTGTTGCTACATATTAGATAGTTGACACCTACTTTGTAGTATTTGCCGCAAAGAACATTCGCCTTGGTTCACTCTACCTCCATTCACTGTATATCCTCTTACCTATTCTACTCTCCCTTCTTGACTCTATCTATAGCTTATATATCAATCGACAAGAGTGTGTGAATGCAACTATTTGCGGTAAGTGACGTCTTGGTACCTACCGCAATAGCAAAAGTACCTCTAGGTATTCTGTGGATGGCTCTTTCATCTTCTCACTCCATCAAAGAGCACCACGGGATTTTAAACTAATAATCGGCTCTTACGAACGGCCGACAAGCAAATGTCCTCGGGGAAACGAATTGTCCCTTTACCGATGTTGATGTAAAATATATCCTGATATACAGAGTATAGTTATGAATTTTCAAGTTAATATAATAAAATCCCTTATAAGAATTGTGAGTATTATCAAATTGAAATCAAATAATACAAAAATTATTGTACTAATTCAAAAGGTTGATCAAGTTATTTATATCGTAGCTACCATGGTAAAACATGTCACTCTTCGGGGATAGTCGTTGTTTCCGACTTTACAAGAGTCGGACTTTTGTGAGTGCCGATCATGGCGAGAGATTAATAATAAGTCCCACATTTTTATTTGACCGATTGCTTTATAAGAATTTATAACTCCTTCCCCACAATTGGGTCAGCTTTTTTTTGGGAAATCAGAGATATAATTTAAAATAAGCTGAGAAGTGTCAATAACAACTACTAGGGGCTGTAACTCAGTGGTAGAGTGCCTCGTTTGCAACTTCAATGTCTTGAAAGAGATAACTGATAATGCTCGATGAAGTCCAGGGTTCGACTCCCTGCCGCTCCAGACTTTTTACCATTTTTCATGTTCTAGATAGAATCGTCACTTGAAGATTGAAACTTGGAGAATGCATTTTTGCGCTGGGAGTGAAGCGGAATGGAAAAAAAGGACGATGATTTTAGAGAGGGGAAAGAAGGAAAGAGTGGGGTTAGTTGGTTCTTTCTGCTTTCATTGATTGGTCTGTCTGAACGCTTGTGAAAATATCATCATCTATCTACACCTCTCTAGGTAGTCAATACTCTCAAGACTCAATGATATATATGTTCGTATCAATCAATACCTACCTAGCTAAACATTTTCCCTCTTGGACGAAAATTTCTGATTTTGCCATCTTGGAGATAACTGATAAGGATTACTAACGTTAATACCCAGTCATCATCAATCATGTCGGCAGTTCACATTTTGGCTGTTGCCATTTGCTTGGGACGGCACGTCATAGAGCTGTTGTTCGATTTGTAATAGTTGTCTGTTTCACCAAAATCGAAAAATAGATTGACAAAATTTTTTACAGAAACCTTCGGATCTTTAAAGAATCTGTTATCACCGACTTATCGTGTGTCGGCCCCACTACTTTAGACATCTCTTAGACTGTCGGACACACAGAATATGCTTTTCAGGATACCTGTTTGTAAGCAATATCAATGATGTTAGAGGTCCGCAGTGCTGAACAATCAAACTAGTCAGTTTTATATACGCCATTGCGCAATGCCGAGAGGTAATGGGGGAGTATAAAGGTATATGGACCCTTCGTCCTTCTCACTCCTTTCCATTCCACTTCATTCAAACAAGCAAGTGATCAAACAGCAACAACACATTCACATACCTACTAACCTCTCGAGAACACCCAACAAACATGTCTTCATCAACACTCTTCACTCCTCTCAAGGTTGGAGCTACCAAGCTTCAACATCGAATTGCCATGGCACCCCTCACCCGATTCCGTGCCGATGAGAACCACGTCCCTCTTCCAATGGTTTCCGAATACTACACCCAACGTGCTTCTGTTCCCGGCACACATCTCATCACCGAAGCTACCTTTATTTCCCCTCAAGCCGGCGGCTATTCTAATGTCCCTGGTATCTGGAACAAAGATCAAATTACCGCATGGAAAAAAGTTACCGATTCCGTACACGCGAAGAAATCACACATCTGGGTGCAATTATGGGCATTGGGAAGAACTGCAGATCCTTCAGAGTTGGGGAAATCTGGTTATAAACTCAAATCTGCAAGCGATATCGCATTCGAGGGAGGAGCCAAGCCAGAGGCCTTGACCGAGTCGGAAATCAAGGAATATATTGGATGGTATGCACAAGCCGCGAAGAATGCAATTGAAGCTGGATTCGACGGTGTTGAGATTCACGGCGCAAATGGTTACTTGGTCGATCAATTTCTCCAAGATACTTCCAACCAACGTACCGATTCTTGGGGAGGAAGTATTGAAAACCGGGCACGTTTCGGACTTGAAGTTACCAAGGCTGTGGTTGAAGCTGTTGGTGCTGACAAGACTGGTATTAGATTGAGTCCATTTTCTTCATTCCAAGGGATGAAGATGGCGGATCCTGTTCCACAATTTAGCTATTTCGTCCAAGGGCTCAAGAAATTGAACCTTGCATACCTACACGCTGTCGAGTCTAGAATCGATGGAAACGTAGACAGTGAAGCAACGGAGGAGAACGTCAAATTTATGGTTGACATTTGGGATAATACTAGCCCAGTCCTTATCGCTGGAGGATTCTCGGCGGAATCTGCAAAGAAAGCTGTTGATGAAGAATACAAAGGAAGGGATATTGTCATTGTATTTGGAAGATACTTTATCGCCAATCCAGATCTTCCTTTCAGAGTCAAGGAGGGAATTGAGTTTACTCCATATGATAGAAATACTTTCTACAACAAGACGCAGGTGGAGGGATATACTACTTATACATTTAGCAAGGAGTTTGAGGCGCAACAAAAGGCTATTGAGGTTTCAGCATGATTGGGATATATTTATATTAACAGATGGATAGACGGATAGATGAGTAGATAGGCAGATAAATAGATAAGTAGATTGAGATGCCTAGATAGATTATATATAATAATTAAGAAATATATACTTTTTGTTTTCTCCTTACAATTTCATTTCAATTGTATAATGATTGACTTTAGGAGTGAGTGTACTTTTAAAAAATTCAACCGAGGATAGATATAAAATGACTATTTGACCTGATTGATCTGAATGACTAGCATATTCATTCTAGTAGCGGCTCATACTTTGGCTTATATATACATACTTGCTGTATTGAGTAACTTGCATCCTTTATTGACCACTAGGCAAATTCATATTCTTCAATAATTAATTGATCAATAAGGTTACTTGGCTTGGTGATCATCAATTCGACTACCAGATATGATTATCGGTCTATTCATTAGAAAGAAGGGAAGAGAAGAGAAGAGAAGAGAGAGAAGCTGAATTGGGTGTGAATAGGTATTGAATGTTGGATATGGAATGCAGAATATTGAAGAAAGATGTGATGAATGAATGAATGACTAATGAATGTTAGGATAGATAACTGGTTGATGTTAGGGAATTAGATGGGGTGTTTATATGGGTACCTGGTAATGAGAAGGTTGTATGGATAGATGGGTGGATAGTATGTAAGATCTTGAGACTTTAATTTTTGAATGTGTAGATGGATGGATGTATGTTTATTTTCATTCGGTTTTGTCTTGTGGTTCACCAGGTGGTTATGTAGAAATTCAATGAACTATTATAGTATTCTGTATAGAATCTGGGGATCATAGAGCTAACTCGGACTCGGATTGAAACCTCGGAATAGAAATCCATTCGGTGGGGCCGGAATTCGAACACGAACCTAGCAATTAATTATTGTAGGGTTCTGACTCCTTTGTATGAATCTACTCGAGTGATATTTTGATTTCAGTAGCTGCGCCTTTTTATACCCCTCTTCTTTTCAATTCTGTCACTGCAGTACGAGGCGGGGATGTATATGTCATGATATTTATACGAGCGTAATCGAATCCTTTGATACCTAGGTAGGTAGAATTAGGTACATATAAGCTTGCAAGCTCGCACGCTAGTAAGGTAATTCTCAAACGCCAAATAAATCCCTTGGTTAATCATCACGTTTCGCTGAAAACGGACATCCAACAAGCAACCAACACACCAAAAAAATAGTACAAAACTATGAATCATGCCTTGGTTTTGCTTCAGTTCATCTAAACCTCATATGAATAATGTTCTGGCTTTCTTACGGCTTCATATGCTTATAAGCTCGCAATCCCAAATCCTCACATTCCACCCTCATCTCCCTATGCGATAGGTTGAGACGGACTCGGTTCTGAACCCCAGACTTGAACGGCAGGCTACTTCCTTCTGGTCATTTGTCCGAACGGGATATCCGACTACTCGCTTCCCCTACAGCTCCCCGGTTGTTTCTTGAGCACGTTTGTTGCTACAAGCTACTAGGTAGCTAAGAACTAGGATATCATACCCAGTCATTTCGGCCCGTTCATAGCCCCTCATCACGCTCTTAAAATACCCTAGACGGCATCAACATACTCTTCCTAGCAGTACAAGCTCGGCATCACAACTAAACCATGACATTTCTTCCTAGACGTTATCTCCGCGCCCCACGATCCCCTCTTCATCCCCATTCACGCCTTCCTAATCTCTGTCTTGCCATCCTTGTGTTCTTCCTCCTGGATGCTTATTGGATCGTTATCAATCTTCCACGTCCAATACGTATTATCACGCCTCCATATTCGGCAATTGCTGCTTCTACTTTGACGTCAAATCAACATGAATCCCTCTCATTACCAGGTCAGGATTCTCCATCGATGAGAAGAGTTGGTGGAGAGGGGGATCAAGAGTCATTATTATCTAGTGATATTGAAAATGATGTAGCATTTCAGGGATTTACACCACAAATGGGAAATCCTAATAATGAAACAATTTTCATCGCAGCTATATTTCGTACTTCCGAAATAATGCTCAAGCAAAATTGGTCACCGGCTCTTATATCCCTGGTTCAACATCTAGGACCTAAGAATGTCTATGTCTCAATTGTTGAGTCGGGTTCTTGGGATGGGACGAAAGCGGCATTGATGGATTTAGATGGTATGCTAAATGAAGCCGGTGTAGAAAGGACAGTTGAATTAGGTATGGATCGTGCGGGTCAGCTTGAGGAATTAAAACATGTGCCAGAAGAGGATAGAACTGGATGGTTATTTACGGAAAGGAAAGAGAGTGAAAGTGGATGGGAAATGAGACGGATACCATATTTGGCGAGATTGAGAAATAAGGCTATGGAACCTTTACTGAGGGTATGGGATGAGGGAAGAGGAAGAAAATTTGATAAGATTTTATGGATTAACGATGTTGTTTTTACGGTATGTTATCACGTGTTTCTTCCCCTTTTCTTTTCGTTTGTTTTCTATCTTACTTCTTCATCTCTTATATCTCCATACCAGTCTATATTCCCGTCTATTTCATTCACTATCTCTATAAAATCATACCTGTGACTAATCACATAACAGACAACCGATGTAACTACTCTCCTCGCCACAAACAATAACTCCTACGCCGCAGCTTGTTCTCTTGATTTCTCACGCCCCTACCAATACTACGACACATTTGCCCTCCGCGACTCCTCAGGTCGAAAAACCTCATCTCTTTCCTGGCCATACTTTTACTCTCCTCAATCATTAAACGCCATAAAAAGAAACGAACCCGTACCCGTCAAAAGCTGTTGGAACGGCATGGTCGTTTTCGACGGTGAACCTTGGTATCCCTCCTCCTCATCCAATCAACAAGGAATCCACAACGAGCAAAATAATAATTTCAAAGGTTTACAATTTAGAGGTGTGGAGGATTCTCTGGCGGAAAAACATGTAGAGGGTAGTGAGTGTTGTTTGATTCATGCGGATAATCCGCTAAGGGATAGGAGGGGAGTTTATGTAAATCCGAATGTGAGGGTCGCGTATAAGAGGGAGGTTTATGAGGTGGTTAATGGGAGGGGGGGTGGGCCTGGGAAATGGGAGGGTGTGAGGGGGGTTTGGGGGGTTAGGGTGGGATGGGTTGGGGAGTGGTGGGGTGGGTGGGTGGAGAGGCGGAGGATGGGGAGGAGAGTGCGGAGGTGGGTCGAGGAGGGGAGGATAGGGGAGGTTGGTGATGGGGATGGTGGTGGGAATGTGGGGGGGAAGGGGGGTGAGAGGAGAGAGGAATTGGGATTAGAATGTTTGATTAATGAGATGCAGGTCTTGTATCAAAGTGGATGGAGACATCTTTAACCATTTCTTTCTCATTTCTCATTTCTCATTTCTCATTTCTCATTTCTCATTTCTCATTTCTCATTTCTCATTTCTCATTTCTCATTTCTCATTTCTCATTTCTCATTTCTCATTTCTCATTTCTCATTTCTCATTTCGTACACTTTTCCTTCTCGTTTCGCAATTCACGATCTCATAGCAAGCCAGCTTTCCTTTCTTTTGTTATTTTTTTTGTGCTGTTACTATTGTTATTGAGTCAAAATCGATTTAAGTTCGTTTGTTTAAACTCGCGGGGTAAAATGTTAAGAACTATTATTATCTAGTGAGTTTTTGATTGGAATCAAGGAATGGGATTGGTTAGAATGAGTGTTCTATGGTTGTAGATATTGATATAGAATTGTATTTTATAAATATATAAATATATAGATTAAAAAGTAGAGAACGAAAAATAGAAATTAAAAGAATAAAGATTAAAAAGTAAAAGATAGAAATTGAATATTGAAGAAAAAGATTTAAATGATTTGATATATTTTGATAATAATATAAAATTGATTTTGAATAGAGAGAATAAAAATGTGACGGAAATCCCTGCTTTCCTCCCACCCTTATTATATAAGAAACCTCAGGTACATTAACCATGTCCACACATGATACGATTACTCGGGATTAGTATGCGATTTAGGTGACCTGAGGATCAGATCCGGACAAGTACTAGGTATCAATGGTTATCGGTAAAGTAAGATCATTGGAGGGATAAATATGAATTCTTTTTGCCTAGCCATTACGGCTAGGCCATTCATTTGTGTATATATAGAGTAGCTATCCCCATCTACAGGTGCTCTTCACCTGTAGATTCTAAGTTAAATACAATTGCTGGTCTATAAACATGTTACGAGGTTTGCCGTCTAGATCACGTGGAAGTGCTCTAGGCTCTCGAGGTAGTTGTCACGAATCACAATTATCCTAGGATCAGAATCGTCCCAGGATTAGTGTCCTGAGGCCTCCTAAGGATCACGTGATGGATAGACTGGATAGCCTAGTCTATCCAGTCTAGGGGATAGCCCAGGTAGACCAGTCTATCCAGGCTATCCAATAACATTCAGAAGTATATAGTTAAGATAGTTTCATAGTCTAAGAGCTTCGTGCTCAACTTAGTTATCAATTAGTTTACCTACATTCTACTTGATCTAGTAACGACTTCACTTCCAAGTGAAGACCAATGATAAAGCCTTAACCTACAACTACCAACCAGACGAACCTTAGGCAGCCGCTGCCTTCAGTACAGTATCGTTACAGTAGTTTATAACTAGGCGTCAAGCAGGGACTTAAAGTAATGACAATAATGATATGCACTTCGTAACTAATAGTAGAGTATACTAAATGATTGATCTTGAGCACGAAGCTCTATACAAAGGAAATCCATCTTGATTATATAGACCTTCGTGTTCTAGCTGATCAGTAGGATCAGTATAGCTCAGTACTGAGCTTGCTGATCCTCACTGAGTCAGTCACATGATATTGGTAGCACGTGAGCGTCTTCTTGTTACCCGGCGTAACAAAACACCCTTTTGGTCACAAAAAAAAAGTTAAGAAATTAAAAAGAATGAAATTTATAATGTAATATAATCTTAGTTTTATTTATCAATCTTGTTTAATAAAAGTTGTTTTTTTTTCTTTTATATCTCAATTAAACTTCTTCTATTATAATTTCTAAATAAAAGAATATGTTAAAGTGAATGGTTCCTGCGTAGCACGTGCACAGGGCACTAGTCCTGTTAGGACTAGATTGAGAAGCTCTCTTACAGAGAGCTTCGCACTTCCGTAGAACTTAGAAGAGAGATTTACCTACTAGACCAATATTACCTCAGTTCTGCCCTATCAGCTTCCCACTATTCCCTGTGTGAGGTCATTCCTTTTAACAGAATATTTATATATAATCGTGTTTATTCTCGCTCTTGATTATATATTTATATAATTATACACACATTATACATCCTAAATCTACTTCCCCACTAGTATACCATATCCCAATCAAGCCAAATCAAACCAAATTATATTTCAAACATTTAGATTTCTCTGCTATTGTATATACTTTATTTTATAAACTCTATCTCAAATCTTGAACCCCAAGCCCCTTCCTCTTCCTCTTCCTATTCTCATTCCGTTTCCCTTGGACCTCCAAGCCCGTGATATACATCTATTTATCTATTTATCTATTTATCTATTTATCTATTTATCTATTTATCTATTTATCTATTCATACTACAATCAAGTGCCTATATATAATCATTTAAATATTTAAATATATAGATTTATAAGTATATAATTATAAAGAAAACCCACTCTCTACTTGATACTCAATACCTCCTCTCCTACCCTATCTCCTCCCCTATCCTATATATCTACATCTCCAAAGTACAATCATCATATCAAATACATCAAGTATAAATTTATTATATCCCATTACATCAAAATACCAACTCGCAATCCCCACAACTAATATATCATATCACAATACCACACCACTATCCCTCTAACCAACACATCATATCACTAGCCCTAACCCAACTAACTCAACCCAAGCTTCTCATCTCCTGAACCGAGAGAATATCACGAATTAAAAAAATATAAAAAGAGATATTATTTATAATTTATAAGAATATAAAGTATTTTTTTTTTTCATTCAAATTGATTTATTACTTTATTCTTAGGGGCGGGATATATATATGATATGAAGTGAGGGGAGGTAATAGGAGGTGATATAGTGTAGAAAGGAAAAATGAATAAATAGAATTGGTTATTGATTTATTTATATAAGGTTACTGAGATTTTAAATCAGGTACACAGTAATTAGAGGAAGAAAACAAAGGTATTGATGATATACTTCCTTTCTTTTTCTATTTTTTTCTACTGTAATATCATCGTATTAAAAATTCATCTCAAGAATCTCCCTTCAATAAACTTCATATGGTGATAAGATAAAGTAAAGAGTTCTCAAACAGAGATATCCATCGAACGGCCCAGCGTGCTAGGTATATATAAAATTAATAATACCTACTGTAAATAGCGGCATCAGCTAGAAATATAATACTTTGTATTATATCTATATACAAAACTTTCTTTCTTTCTTTCCATTACCAGCCAGGGCTTTAATCGTGTTTTAGAGATAAATCACTACCTGTACTACATCGGCCGTAATTACTGTATTGTACTATATCTTCCCGATAGATTTGTACCTAACAGGTATTGGAAAATACATAATCCATATATATGTAGTTAGATAAGTATGACGAAAGTAAAATTCAAATACCCATGTTTTTTAATATGGAAGGAGGTTATGGGAGTAATGGGAGTAATATGATTTTGTACAAAATTGACGGGTGAAAATGTGAGAATTCTGAACGGATAAAAAGTTAATACCTAAATATCAATTAAAAAAATATGCCAATAGGTAGGTATGCCAAATTTCGGAAACTTCTATGAACTCTCCCGGTGCATTTCAACCTTGTTTAGAAAATCGGCCGTGATTAAAATCCCACAATGCTTCATTCGCCGGCTTTTCTTCTCCTTGAAAGAAAAAAAGGAGAGCAGCTGAGCTCACATCATCATATCATATCATATATGTCTAGGATAACAACCAGCCGTGTGTTCTTGAGCAACCAGAAAGCAAGATATAGAATACAAACAGCATGCGTATTTTGTACACCAAGATCCAGGAAAACAATAGATATCACACTCATCGATCCGAGAGTATGTTTTGTGTTCGGAATTGTTTTGGATACTTGGTTTTGTGTAGCGATACATCCGTTTTGGGGAAAATTGGAGGGCTAGAAATGCTTTCTGGTATTTAATTAGGGTGGAGAGATACGCCTCTATTGATTGTATTACGACTTGGAAGCAGGTACCCTTATATGATGAGATGAAAATTGGGGTAGATAAATGAAAATGCTGTGATCCCGTGAGTTGGTAATTTGTTGAGGAAGTTTACTTTAAAATTCTCGTGTGATGCAGTAAAGAAGAAATAAGATTCATCATAGTAATTGGTTCCGCATGAAACTGGAAATGTTCATGAAGTATCTTGCTCAATGAAATATCGAACCATTGAACGGAAGTATATAAATTATAGTGCATCTGCATATTGATATTGGAAACTTCATCAGCAGTATTCACTGCGTCCGAGACCCATAACCTTGTGAATTCGGGACTTGAGTACAGATATTAAAGTACTAGATGCATTCGAATATTACCAAGCCACTTAGATTGGGTCAAGTTGTACAAGTTAAAGTAGATGGAAGTACAAGAATGATCATTGATATAAGGTTCCAAGTAGTCGGTAGCCAACAAAAATACTTCCATTATACATACTAATGCTCATGATGTGAGTAATGAATGTCCCACGATATAATAAGTTACCCGTCACGCAATTTGAGTTGCATTGAAAAGGTCTAGGGAAATTATGTACCTACTGGGAGATGATCCCATGAGCTGGATTTTATCCAGAGAATTATAGTTCCGTGATTGGATGTAAGATTAGAGTGTGGAAAGTACATGTATCTGGTGCTTTCATGTGCATACACCATACCGCGGAGGTATTGTAACTATTAATTCCATGTATCTCATTTAATGGCTCAGCACATACATAGCACATGGCAATCCAGAAGGTTGAAAAAAGGAAAAGATGGTGTGGTGGAAGAATGAATGAGTGGAAGAAAAAGACCGAGAAGTATCCCGTGATGGTGTAACAGTAACAGTAACATTAACGAAGTATCATTTCAAAGTATACTAATCAACCACTTCATACATAATCAAACTTCTGAATCCAGAACAAGAAGGATCATGTCCTTTTTCTGCATCTTTTCTTCAAGTGGAGAAAAGATGGGGGCCATGCATTGAACTGAGCCACGACCTACCAGCTGAGGATGTGAATCCGGTTGAAGAAGATCCGATACTATTCGGAAATCTGACTGGTGGTTATTAATCTTCCCTTGTCTATGAGGGGTCCGGGGAGAAAAAAAAGAAAAGAAAAAAAAAAAAAAAGCAAAAAATCATATGAAATCCCTCTTTTCTTTCCTCCCCGAATCATACCATCCAGAGGTAACCAGTCAAATACTCGAACAATTCCTTTTTAATTTTTAGGACGATGCATCCATCTTACTCAGTACACACTACTACTATTACTACACACTACTACTACTTAAATAGCATCATCACTCTCAGACCTCGTTCATCATTACCCCATTGAAACAACAAAGGCATTCCCACTTTCAACTATTGGACAATAGTTTAAGCTTTCACTCCAATGCACGCTCACACGTTGTTCATGGCGATATGCCAACTCGATCTAGATTTACCACGTTCAAACATCGTGGACCAACAGCCTAACCAACACTTTAAAGCGATGCTAATGCAACCTAAGCCGTGCGGGAGAATTGGCAGTTGGCTAAGATTTTCAATTAACATGGGATGATTCGTGTTTCGGGGCGGTTATAAGGCTAGCTAGACGTCGGTCTTTTTTAGTTTCTCCCGAAGCCTTTGATTGCTTGTCTGCCTGCCTGCCTGCTTGCTTGCCTTGTCTTGCCTTGTCTTGTCTTGTCTTACCTTGCTTGCTTACTCTTCCTCTCTCCTACCTACTGCAAGTTCATCACTATTCTACATTCTCATCACCCCGTTATCAGAGCGGCTTCACCTCCTTCATGAGATGCATCCCCGAGCCGAGGATGAAGAATTTCATGAGTAAGAGTAAGATTTCCAGGATATGATTTCGGGATTTGTGGATCCGTCTAGATTGGGCTCGCAGCGTCGTAGGCAAGGATTTTTTACTAAGCTCCTTGCTTCCCTTGATAAATCGCGGATGAACAGCGTCTATCTGTGTGTGATGATACTTTGTGTGTAGACGTCGAGACTTAACAAGCGCCAGGTGGCATATTGGTAGCAAATCACATCATCGATGATCATTTTTCGGTCATTTGTAACCTGCAATGTACGGAGTAATGACACCGATAAATCAAATATTTAAGCCTGAATGCAGAGAGTGAGAAAAATGTGAGATCTCACTCCACATGATACCCTGGAGGAAATGGATTTGTTGCGATTGGTACCTAAGTTCTCCAGCTACTAGGTTGGTGAGAATAAGCATGTACTCCGTAATCCAGTATTTATAAGTCCAAGCATGTAATCGATTACAGTATTGATAAGGCCAGTCTACCTTGTATCTATTATCATTGATGATGTGGCTCATGGATTATGGCACCACTTTGTAGTCATTGTATCGCTAGTGAGTCAGTTTTTCACACCACCCTCCATCAATCATCATTGATATAGAGCCTACAATAGAGATATAGAATTTTGTTTAGGAAACTCAAAAGGGCATAGTGGTAGTCTGACAGTAAAGTAAAACGAGGCCAGTAAGCTAAAGTGCTACGGCCCCCAACCCCTCTAGATGATTCTTGAGTAACCCAGTTTTCCCATCATATCATCATGCCGCGCAGTGTGCAGCGACAGGGTCAAACCCAGGTTGAAAAGCCTACCGTGTAGACTAGGATTATCGGGGAACATGGTTGCAGATGAAACAACGGCAGATATGCCATTTTTCAATTGATTAGCTGATATCTACCTATCGATAGGACCATCATTTGATGAACTACTAGGTAGGTAGACGGCATGCGCATGCGATGAGATGGAATCACGGGATTGGGATTTTCACGCAAGAAATTCCTGATTGAGAAGACGAGACGAGCGATTAAGGTTTGTGGAGGATTCGAGGATACAATATCTACTTCGGTACTCCGAACTTCCTTCCTTCCTGGCACGAGTTGGCTTATTAGTCTACGGGATACTGGTAGACGGAAACCAAGTTTTGTGGAGAGCTTGTCCTGTCAGGCACGAGCGTCAGTGAAAGAGCCATGTATTGATCTGAGCGTTTTGGGTTTTTCCAGATGCTGTCGATACCTCTGTGTACGCATCATACCGCTGAGACCTCAGAGATTCTTGGAATGCTAATAAATGTTTCTGTAGAGGCCTAAACACAGAGTCTGGATGGAAGAAAGTTTCAAGACATTTCCCCTTCCAAGCTTCTCCCAGATTCTGTAGTATCATGTTTTTGATATCATGTCTCAGTCGAAGATAGTCTGTACTACCTGTACTTTGTATCATCTCAACAAAGCCGTTGAGAGTACCTAGTCAAGTGGTACAGTACCAGCTATTCCCTGTTATCAAGTTAAGATCTGCGGGATCAATCGGAAGTTCTAGGTAGATATGAGTTGCAGTATCTGTATGGAGATGACTTGTCGAATCTGATCAGAATCACAATCTCAGAAAACCAAGAACTAGAGACAAACACTAACATTGATGCTTCGTTGCTCCTGACTAGATTGAACCTTATTTCATTGTTTAATTCATCAAGCCATGATATCCAAAGAATACCAAAGAACAATCAGACCACGCTGAATACATCTACTTGCCATGTATCATGTAGCTTTGCGAAACCTGCAGCATGCCTTACTTAATCCGTAACACATGATCCAGATACAATATTTGGAGGAAGAACTCCCCGAGGAATCGATGCAAACGGTGGCAACTATTGATTATTTCCATTATATGGTCAAAGTAAGCAGCAAATCGTGATCGACCCAATCATTTCCTCTTGGGATTCACGATGTCATTCATGGATATGGCTGACATGAACGATTAGGTTATACGGCACAGTTCACTGGCGCTTTATCAACCTTGGAGCATTTTTCATGTGCTAATGGGTGGGTCCGCTTTGCAAAAGAGAGAGTCGCACGGAACTAAAATTATTCAAGTTTTTCATAGCAGGACAGGACTTATGGTTGTGAATGAATATCTATTATCATTCCCATTTCTTGGAGGTTTTCATACTTTCAATTGTGATATCCATCTTGCACACGATCATCTACTTTCTGAACAAGTAAGATCTTACAGGGGCGCCACACCGGTACAAAGCTTAGCTACTCCGTACTCCGTACACACTTACTTACTTGCCTCCAACTAATGCAAGCAAACTCTAAAGTCATAGTTTAAAGTTTCCTCTTCCCGTAGATAGCAGTCTCGGTACTTTGTAAATGGCAAATTCGAGTATTGGGTGGATGTGGATGTGGATATGGATGTCTAGATACCTATCGCCGGATAATTGTTGTTGAATATTTGCGGGGCAAGTTGGGGAATCATACCTAGGGAGGGATCCAGCCATTTTTACTTTCTACCTTGGTCCGTCCGTACACAGTGAAGTTTGAACAAACAGTAATAATAATAATAATAATAATAATAATAATAATAATAAATGCTCCGTACATTTTAACTTTCAAGGGAGAAGGAAGAAAATGAGCCCAAGAAGCCAAATATATTTAAATTTTGGGAATAAAATTACACTTCAATTGGTTTAGTGGGAAAAAGTCAGACATGGGCAAGTGGGCACAAATAATCCTGAAATATGGGATAATAATGCTGGTCGTAATCCACGCTGCAATTGGAGAACAACCCCTTGACCCTTTCAATCCATGATGTTCATGGATCGGGGTTGATGACCATCGAGGTAACGGGATGGAGTCTAGTGCAATAAGATAATGACCCGTGGGAAGAACCTTCTTTTTCTTACATCCATACGGAGTACAGAGATTCAAAGAGAGAGTTATGGCTGGAGCTAGAAATTAGAATAATTGCCCTTTCTTTAGTTGATTGATTGATTGATTGATTGATTGATTGATTGATTGATTGCTGATTGACTGATGATTTGATTTATTATTATTATTATTATTTTTATTATTTTCATTTTTATTATTCTCCATCAGCTCACACACAACTCACAACTCACGCATTACCTACCACCTACCTGGATATTTATACTCGGCATATCAAATCGATTATCTTTCCCCATTTATTCTATATCTTACTTCAGTACTAGAAATCTACCTTCTCTGACCGATTCAATCCTTTGAGCCTCGGAACAGGAGACCGACGAGGAATATCGATAAAAGTTCAAACTCTCATGGAGGATAAAAGCTACACTTAACCTTACTTATCTCGTACACCATAGATCTACAGAGTATATCTCAACACACCAAAATCCACATAGATTAAACATCTCACAAGATTATCTTCCGTCCACATTACCCAGATCCTCCGAGAGGTGCTGAAAGTTTGAAACCTACCTACGGTCCTACACATATCATAAACAAATCCTTCTCTTTTAGCTGGCTGACCGTTTTGCCCGTGGTTCACACATATTTCACTCATTGTCTGTACTCTTTTAACTTTAAAGATTCCTTGCCCCTGTATGTACAGCACTGCACTACAAAGGGAACCCACAATCCGCCATCCACCCACCCATCCACCACCCAGACTTGGCAGCCATACATCTTCCCGACTGTGCACTTAAAGAAAGAGACTAACTACGGGTCTACCTTGGGTTCATTGCAACGGTCTCCATCATATCCATCCATAAACCTTTCCACGCACAACTTCACACAACTTGACCCAGAACTCTCTTCTTCACTCCCAGCATAAGGCTTCCTCTTCTCATAATCAAAAACTCCTACCAGACCACTTGACTTTCTCTTCTAGAAAGACTTTAATCTCTGGATATTTGACATATACCGGATACATACTTGGCACACGCTGGATACTTGACACACACTAGAAACTCTGGAAAACATTCAGATCACTAGGTACTATCTATCTATTGGCATTTTGCAGTTTTCCTCCCCAGATTTAACAAAGCAAACACAGACTTCTTCCTTCAACAGAATATATACAGTCGCACACCATATCTCAGTATCATCTGTACGGAGTACAGAGTATATTCCTTCAATTACATACAGTATCCCCTTTTAGTATCAAGGAAACTTAACTCTCATCACAATCACCTAGATCTCTCAAGGACCATCTCTCATTTTATTATCCTACTTGATAAATTGATATATACAAAGTCAATACTCGAGATCTCAATCAAACTCTTTTTATTTCTTCATTCCTCTTTTTTATTTTTATAGTTTTCCTTGAGGCTTTTAAGGAAAGACGGTAAAAGATCATAAATACCACGATATAGTCCCACCAACCCACCACAACCACCGAGTCTTTTAGTGCTGTACGCGAGGACCCGATCACCGCTCCCCGAAAAGCATTTCATTATTCTCCCTTGCAGAACAAGAACACAACTTTTACTTCATCTGCGGTCTTTCAAAATTCTTTACAACGTACAATACCTTACAATTCAAACAAAGTACGATCAAGTAAAACAATTCGATATTCATTATTCACTATCGTCAATCACTCTGATCTGAATAGCCAACCTATCACAATACTCCAATTACCATTCTTCAACCGCGACTCTGCGAATTGCGAATCTTGCCCGCTTTCTATCTTCAGTCCTAAATTAAGAAAAATCCCCGCCGCCACTCAAAATAGATCAATCGATAAGTAATCACTGCAAAGCAATTGTTCACCATCAAATCGATTATGATGGATTCACGTCCGCCATCAACTAGAATGCCTACTGGATTGGCAGGAGTTTTGAATGAAGTCGGCCCTGAAGAGCACAAGAGAGATTCTGCTTATTATTCAAGTCTAGACCCATCATCAAAGCGTGAGTCTTGGAGCATTCACTCAAAATGCGCTTCAAAGAATATGCTAACGAACACCCTCAATGTAGACAACTCGCAATTATCGAGCAGCGATGTCGTCATGGCTCCTTCTCCAACGGGATACCATTCCTCCAGTGCCGATATAAGTCCCTCTCCTGCAGCAAATCACATTGCCAGTCAACAACTTACCTCTCCCACCTCTGGCAGCATGAGCGTCGCATCTATGGTCTCCCCATCTTACGAAGACTCCGTGGCTAGTCAATTAGCCTCCATGTCGGGCCAAACAAATAGACAATCATATGGCTCCGGACTTGGAGCTCTTTCAATGAACGGGGATTCCCGTCGGGAGAGTGTTGATTCTAGATTGGGTACTGGTTTCCAAGATTTGCGTCTCAATTCGCCATACGCCAGCAATAATCAATCAACCACTTCAATCCAGAGCACTTTACAACAGCAGCGCAACCCTGGTAATACCGCTGACCGCTTGTCAAACCCGAGATTCTCAAACAGCTATCAACCACAACGTCTACCAGAACCAACCTCCCCCAGAAGTACAATGCCAAAGACTGCTCCCATGATTACTGGTCCTGCTATGTCTAATATTGCTCGCGCGGCTGAGCCAACTAAGGGAGAAGCTTGGGCGTTCCCTGAGGAACCAGTGCATAGGGTACGGAACTCGCACGATCGACATCTCGAGGATAACCAGAGCATGAGCAGAGTAGGAACCTCTTTCTTAAACCTTGACTCGAGACGCAGTAGCATTGCAGACTCGGTCGCTAGCAGCCAATATACTACAGAATCTCGTCTGCCAGCTGGGCAAAGAAGGTTAGAGGATGGAATGTCCTCCGATTTTAGATTATCGCGAGCATCGTCTGAGTTCCAGAATGTATCTCATCACCATCATTCTCTACAGAATCGTCAAATATCTGATTTGCAAGCTGAGGATGGCGATTCACCAAACAGTGGACAACCTTACAGTCGCACACCTGAGCTTCGTGTGAGCCATAAACTTGCGGAAAGAAAACGCCGAACTGAAATGAAGGAATTGTTTGAAAACTTGAGGGATTTGATGCCTCAAGAACGCGGTAATAAAGCTAGCAAGTGGGAGATTTTGACAAAAGGTATTTGCGACGAACACTATTCATTGACTTTATACTAAGAACTACTATAGCTATCGCCGAACATAACGCACAGGCAAAGGAGATACAAGAATTGAAAGCGAGGCTACACAACTCACAAATCGAGATGGACAATCTTCGCCGCGAAGGTAACGTCATTCGCTTGGAGAATTCCCAACTTCGCAGCGATCTCAGTCAAGCTGGATCCAATAATCATCCGTCTGTCATGAATGGATTCACCTCAATGCCACAGAACGGTGGTTCACATGTCGACATGAATGCATATCAACCAGAGAGTTACGCCCCAAGAGGTTCTTATCAACGCAACGAGCAATTACCACCACTTCGAATGTCACAACCTGAATCCATGAGCGGAGTTCAATATCAATCGGACATGAACCGTAATGGGTATCGTGATCCTCGATTCTAGATCTTTGGATTCAGAATATTTTGGACAAGTTATTTCCTTGATATCTTTGCGGCCCATAGATATTGGATTCGTATAAGGACTTGACTTTTATAAGATTTTTCCTTGAGCAATTTCTTTCGCAAGAGTGACCTTGAAAGAATTCACTTTCCCTAGGCTATGAAGCTATATCATTAACAGACCTATGTCCGAAGCCCGATCATATTATTTCGATTTAAATCGAACTTCACTCCCTACTATTTAATAATTCTTATCCAGCAAATATCTTTTCGCTTCTGGATCGTATATCATCGAGGCATGTGTTCTATTAGAAAAACGGTTGGCGTTTTATATTTCACTTTACAGTATCTATATTTTCTTTTGTTTTTGGAGTCACCGAGTTTTCTGGTCATTTTCGGATACCTCGCTATGTCGACAATACTACAAGTGGTCTCGACATACGACGCTTGTTCTCTTTTATAAGAAAAGTGAAACGTACATTTCTCGTGCGTTTGGGAGTTAAAGGGAACCTTTTTGCATTTTTGGTATGGGATTGGATTGGAACTGTGCAATGTCCGTAAAAGAATTTTTATTCGGATGGTATGGGTAGGTGATGATATGGAATATGGGAGGATATTGATTCTACCAAATCGTAGAAGAAGGCGTTACTTGAATATACCCACTCTCATTTTGGGGTTTCTATTATTATCTTACTCCTACGAAAACTTTTCTCGATTTTTTTTTATATTTTCAATCAAGTTTAATGGAGAGATTTGATTAGAAGTGAGAAGTGGGAAAGTTGGATAAAGCGAAATTTTTCATTCAAATAGGATGAGATAGCACAAAGTTACTTGGAACATGGAGACTTTTGGACCTACTAAATTACTTGGATTTTGGGGATGTATACAAGGGGTTGAGGATGTACGTTGGTACGTTGGTACGTTTGTATGGATGGATAGACGGATGGATGGATGAATGGATGAATAGTTAGTTAGGATAAGAGTTGAGATAATGAAAGTAGGTAGCTACAACTATAATCAAAATGAGTAATGACTTGTGTCGTTGATTTACTCGATGATTTTCTTGAATTTTTTGAGATCTTAAGACTTATATTTGTTTGGGATGATTTCTGTTGATTGTTTGATATCCAGTGTTGAGTCTTGAATGTTGAGTAAATGAAGTTTATATGAAAATAAATATAATTGTGAGATTATTTGTACAACGTTAATATATTATGTTATATTACAATGTACTACTATAATATTATGTATATAATTGATTATTTTTATATTCTGAGTAATTAATTAATATCTTTATTTATTTTTAATTTTATCAAGATCTTGTTACGAGGTTTGCCGTCTAGATCACGTGAAAGTGCTCTAGGCTCTCGAGGTGGTTTATAACTAGGCGTCAAGCAGGGACTTAAGTAATGACAATGATGCAATTCGTAACTAATAGTAGAGTATACTAAATGATTGATCTTGAGCACAAAGCTCTATACAAAGGAAATCCATTATGATTATATAGACCTTCATGCTTCATGGCTCGAAGGGCTCGAGAGGCCAAGCCTTACGAGCTCTTCGAGTCCTCGCGTCACGTGTTATTACTAATCCCGTGACCTAATTGTTACTTGTCGTAACAGATCTTCCTTAATATATATAAATATAAATATAATTGAAATCACTTTGATTTTATGATAATGTCCGAGTTAGAGGTGATGTTATTTTCAATTTTTTATATATATTTATTAGTTTCTATAGTAAGATGAGATGAGAAGTAATCTATCGTTTGTTTTATTTCTATATTTACACATTTGACTGACCCCCCTTTAGTAACTTCTTTTTTCATTATCAAAAATAAAAAAAATATCTTTCTCTCTATACACATCTCCCCCCAACCCTGCGCATTTTTAAACCCCTTCATAAGTCCCTTCTTCCCCCCTTCCACGTTCACTCTCACTCTCACTAACACTCCTACTCCCAATCCTCAACATATCCCCCCTCCTCCCCCTCTTCAACCCCCCCAATCCACCCAATCCTCCCAACCCACCCAGCCCCTTCCCACCCTTCCCACCCTCCCCCACCCCACCCACCCTCTCCCCCCTCTCCCCCTCCCCCCCACAAGTATAAACACACCTCCGCTCCCTCTCCCCCCTTCTCTCCCCAAAAAACGTCTCATCCGCACAACTACAACCCCATAATTCCAATATCAAAACCCAGAGGACGAGAGCTGTGACGATAGAGATGAGATGGAGGGAATCTAGGTTTTTGGCAGGGATTAAGGGGAGGAGGATTACGAGGTTGCTGGTTAGGAAGCGGTTTAGGAGGCGGTAGCGTTTGATGAGGCGGAGGGGGCGGGGGGTGCAGGGTGTTGGGGATAGGGGGGATAATGGGGAGGAAGAGGATGGGGAGGCGGTTGGTTGCGTGGGTTTTTTGTGGATGTGTGTTCCGGATATGAGGCCTGTGGGGGAAGAAGGTGGTTAGTTGGTTGAGGAAGAAGGTGGAGGGGAGCGAGAAGAGAGGAATGATAGAGAGGAAAGAATAAAAAAATTAATCAATACATCCCCATACAAAACAACGCAACCCCAAACCCGGTACAATAAAACCAACCCAAACCATCCGAAATTTCCGTCTC